AGAGTAGTTTTGCTCTGCCATCTTTTTAACCCTCATTCAACTAACTTGCTATTAAAGTCCCCCCCTTTGCCAGAAAAAAAAAAAAAAAAAAAAGTCTAGCCCTTAACCATATTTATGAAGTCTGTAGAGCGATTGCGTTGTATAGTAAGAACTTTTGACAGTTTGTTTCTTTAAAACTATTAACATTCTTTGCTGTTTTTATCTTCCCATTTTAAACCCAGATTTTTCTTCCAAGTTTCTCGAAAACTTTGCTTTTTTGCTGCGGAACAATCCCTTGGTCCTCTTCTGCTTTGCTAGTGAAATGGAAGGATATTTAAAAAAAACAAACGTGCATTCCATCATTAACATTGTTTATGATCCTTTAGCAAAACCTCCAACAGCTTACACTATTGTGGGCTTCTTTTGGTTCCAGGAAGATGTTTACTTAACACATTGCAGGAATATTTTGTCTAGTTTACAGCCTTCTTACTGTAAAATATGTGGCTTTAAGTCTCATTGCCTTGGCCAGTTGAGAGATTTGCAAATAAATGGAAGGAGCACAGAGTTTCTATCCTTCCTTCATTCTTTATATCACAGTATCTTCGCAAAGCTGAGTACTTTGCAGAAGTTTGAATACGCGTTTAACTCACGCTTTTGCTCCATAAGGTAATATTTGTTACAGTTTGCCTTACGCTTTTGTAGAGTGTGGAGCCCAAGGTATGCCATCTCTCCATGTCACAAGTAACTACTGAAAAGTCATCACTTTTAGAATGAGCACAGAGGCCTTGTGCAGGAGGCTTCCTTTTGGAAGTATGCAAAAAATTTATTTTATGTAAGTTTTCTTTCTGTACAGGATATGTCATCTAGTCTTCCTGTAAAAGGAGTATGTTACCAACATTCACCTTTTGCTTTTTACCAGTGTACCTATCCATCAGCTGCTATGAAATCGTGGAACATCAATAATCTTTTGGAAAATGATTGTAGATTGCATTGGACTGTAAATGTCCTCCTTCGTGTTGGGGTATAGCAGTGAAGAGGAAGACTTTGTCCCTGTTGTGAGGAGCCTTTCATGTTGAATGGGAGTTTCTAAACCCATTTATTGCTGTCCTGGGAAAAAAAAGGGAGGATTTATTCCAGTATACTGCTCCTCTTTGAAATTTTCAGCCTTGAAACATGAGGTTGTAATACGCTTTATAAAGGGCTAGTAATTCCTAAACACTCCCTCTCTCTGCTCTGAAATTCTTGTATTTGAGATTTATCAGATTGAAAAAATTCTGTGAACTGTTTCTGTATCAAGTATTTGATTTGTAAGCGTCTTCTGACTGGTGAGTTGACGGAGATAGGGACTGTAACTAGCTTATACACACTGTGCCTGTGATTTAGCCACCTGAATCTCCACAGAGGCTCCTGTTTAATGCATGCAAATCTCTAGCCGATGTACGGAGGGGGAAATTCTTTCCCTCCTCTGTATTATTTTTTCTCCCCAGTTTTTCTTCTTCCTCTTTGAAGGCTTGGAAATCCGTGTGGGAAGAACTGGTGTATGGATTAATGAAGCAGAAGTGTGATCCCTTAAGATATATTTTGTGTTGTATGTGCCCTTTCACTTTCTTCATATCTTAGTCATTCCTTTAGATGATAACACAGTCCCCAGCACACATCTTCTCTAATATACTGGAGCTATAGATGCTAGAAAAATCCCAAGTCTCCATGCTGGTGGTCCTGTGACTGTCTTGGGATTTGCCAAGTTTGGAATAATGAGGAATGGTTTCCACTGAATATCTGTCTCCAGCCAAGGAGATTTCTGACACAAAGGGGATTATCTTAGTTGACCAATTCATATGTAAAAAGATGCACGTTACTATTGTAGCATGTAAAATAATTGTTTTAATAATTATAGTTACAGCAGGGTATTTGAACCTCAAATCTGTTTCATTCTGAAGCTTATATTTATCTTTAGGTATGTATGTACTCCTTTGTAGGAGAACTGGGGATGCGAAGCTTGATCCTGGGTCATTTTTAAGAGTAAAAATCTACTGGAATCAATTGTGTTAGAGAAAATAAAAATTCATGGTACAGCATTATAAACAGTAATGTAGATTTCAACGTTATATATACAGATTTTTCACTTACCTGGCTTTTGAGTTACTGTCCTTGTGATGTTTTTTCAGCTCAAGGTATGAGAGCTGGATCTCTTCTTGAGACAGAGAATACCTTTATTAGATTTACAAGTCATTGTATTTTCTGATGGTTCACAACTTGGTTAAAATGGATTACTGGCTAAAATGAAGTATATAAAATAAACCATCTCCAAAATTAATTTTTATTTACACCAACAGAAGAGTGTATTCAAGGATCAGATGGAGCTGATGTTGCAGAATCATGTATTTCCATTGTTCATGTCTAACCTGGGGTACCTCAGAGCTAGAGTAAGTTCACAAACTACATCAAGTTCCGTACATGCCTTGATTCTTTCCTTTGTAGTTTAACTTCATTCTGCGTGTTAATGAAAGAAAGTAAGTGATCTAAATACATAATATATCTTCAAATAGCTTCCTTGTACAGTAATTTTTCAGCATTTTAATTTAAGAAATGGCTTGTCAATTAAAGGATTGATGGAAAGTCTGTGTTGTGTTACTGTTCACTTTGATCAGACTGGACAATTTGAGCAGTGGTTGTATGGTGACCTAAAAAGGCCATTTTATGACCATTTTTCATTAGCAGATCACGATAAATTGAGCTGTTGACAGCTGTGAAAAACCGGTAGGGTTTTCACAGAGTAGATGGTGCCAGTTTAAGTGTAGCCTGAACAAAATCCCTGAATGTCCATAACAGTCAGAAACAAGCTGTTAATTTTCTTAAATTTCCTTTCTCATTTTCCCCAGAAGGACTGAAACTGTGAATGTCAGTTATGTGCATACAGAATTTATTGGAATTTGGGGAAGGAAAAGACAGAATTGCTTCAATGCAAAAACTGTATTACGCGTTATTGCATGAATATACCGTAATTATGAAAACAAGACAACATATGTGAACAGACAGAGATGGTTAGCATCGTTCTTAAATTAGTTAAAAAAATACTATAAATTGCAGTAGCCCCTAACTTGCTTTTCTTTTTGCCGTGCAGTCCTGTTGGGTTCTTCATTCATTCAGTGCTTTGAAATTCCACAATGAGCTAAACTTAAGGAATGCAGTAGAGTTGGCAAAGAAGAGCCTGATTGATGATAAAGAAATGCCTGTCAAGGTAGAAGCTGCAATAGCTCTTCAGACATTGATAAGTAACCAGGAGCAAGGTAAGCTAAAGTGGTCGTTGATTGTGTATACTGATTTTTTTTTTTTTTTTTGGGTGGAGAAGAGAAGTTGTTATAATTTGGTGCAGATGCGTATGAACATTTCTAGCATTTAAAGACATAGTTTTCTGAACGCTTCATCATGTTTAGACAGCTTCACTTGCTCATTAGCTACTGTGTATGTCCCAGAGTTCTGACTGCAAGTTTTTCTGACAGGCTTCTGCACAAAAGAACATAGAATCGACGTATTTCATTTAACAGAGTAAATAACATCTATCTTTGTTTTCTTTTTAATGAAGTGAAGTAGTGTGCGTGTTTAAGACAGAATGCTATCTGTTATTGAGGGCACATATTCCCATGTGCAGATGCTGGTTTTGGATGACTTTTCGGTATTGAGTGTGATGAATGTACAATTTATTTAGTAACTTTGTTAGTTTACTAGCTGTGGGCTGTAAAAATGCCTTGGCTGATTGCTTTTTTTGTGAATTAATTTTGTTTAAATGATTTTATTCAAGAGTAGTCAGGTACCTGGTAATTTTGAGGTACTGTATATTTGCTGTTTATGAGTAGTTAATCTCACCTAATTTGGACTGTCTTTTTAGCCAAAGAATATGTGAAGCCATATGTAAGGCCAGTTATGCAAGAGCTCTTACACATTGTTAGAGAGACGGAAAATGATGATCTTACTAACGTAATCCAGAAGATGATCTGTGAGTACAGTCAAGAGGTAGCTACCATCGCTGTTGACATGACACAACACTTGGTAAGAGACAATAGTAGAGTAACAGATCAGTCACAGGGCACATGACTAGTTCAGTAAACATTTTATGATCTTTCTTTGAAACGCACATTGTTTAAAGCGATCTTTATAAATGTTCTATATATAGTGTTCATATTATTATTTTTTCAATCTAAAGCATCTTTAAAACCTGTAGCCTTTTCAGAGATACTGAATTTTGTTAGTGTAATAAGCCAAGCTCTGATTATTTAATGTTAGAAATTAACAGAGCCAGACTTCTCAAAAAGGAGGTTTTTTGGTTTCCCTTTCAAAAGTAAGGAGCGTGTTTTTCGGCACGGACAGCTCTGTAACAGACGAGGCATTACTTTTGCATGACAAAGTAGAATAGTAGGTTGGCGCTTGAATATCAAGTTAGCTGCTTTTCTTTCATAGGCTGAAATATTTGGTAAAGTACTTCAGAGTGAGGAATATGAGGAAGTGGAAGACAAAACAGTTATGGCCATGGGCATCTTGCACACAATTGACACTATCCTGACAGTTGTGGAAGACCACAAGGAGGTGAGATTTGTTTATACATCTTTTCTCCTGCTGTTCCATCTGTGCCTTTTGTTCATGGTAACAAGCCACTTCTGTGTATGCGTTTCATCCCTTGAACCGACATGAATATTTATTTACTATAAGTAGGATGGTGAATTAGTAGCAAATAATCTTTGACAAATTTGAATTTAAAGCCCAGTTTGTGTTTGTGATTTCTGAACTGTTTAGCCCTGACCTTTGAGGGGAATTTATCTCTTGAAGGTAAAATCCATAGCTGTTATTCTGGTAAACACTTCAATGAAGTGTTTACTCCATTATTAGGACTGTTAAAATACATTTTAGAGAGGAACATTAATGTATTAAGGTAATTTTTGATAATGGTGACTCATATTTTGCTGTTTGCCCAGCAGTTTCTTGGGTAGAATTGATAGGAGTGGATTTCCCAGTTGTTCAGTATAAATCTACATTTCACATATTCAGAGAAGTTACTAGGGAAGGCCTGCACCCTTTTTGAGCTCACGGCTTAGGGAAGCGCTGGATTAGGATTGCTGCCTGGCTCGTAATGAGACTAATTATTTCAGCTCATACCACCAGGTTTGACTGAGGTAGGAAGGAGATCAGTGCCTGACCAGAGGGTCACAGTCAGTCAGTAACTTTGAGCTCAGCTGGCATAAAGTGCAGAAGTGCTTGGTCCTAAGTTGTTTTGCTTCCTTGATTTACAATGAGAACGTTTCATTGCAACTCTGAAATAAATCTTTTTATAAACCTTATAATTTTTAAAATAGTTTGATTAAAATACTAATTATCTTCTCATGTGAATATTGTCTTCCTCTGGATTTCAAAACATCTTTCATTCCTTTCTAAGAGCCCTTTGCATCTTTGGAAAACTACAATGAAATCTGGTAGCTAAGCTGAGCACTAGGAATGATAGTCTGTAGTAGATCTTCAGGTTTTAGGGTAGGAAAACCTCTGGAGTGGAGTTTTTTGGGGATAAACTTAGCAGCTTTTTTTTCTATTGTGTGAAGCACCATGCTAAAGTACCATGCAGAGTGTTATTCATCTTAGGATCTTATATCATTTTAGAAGTGATGTAAGTGATATACAAATAGTACATTAGGCTGAAAACTCCTTAAAAGGAGCTTAGAGGACCATCGCTTCTAAGTCAAGTGTCCTAGTCAGCTGCCTGAAGTTAGGTAGAAGAATCTGGGGTCACATTCTTAAATCCTTTCCTAGAATAGGTCTAGGAAGCCTGACATCCTGCAAGATTATGTGTGTAGTGCATGGCTGTGAGTAATAAAATTAACTGCCTATATTTGCTGTTTTTTCTTAGACTTATAATGTGGCCATACAGTTTTTCTTGTAATTTAATATCATTCTGAAATGCAATCTCCCTGTCCAATGCAGCAAGGTCTAATAAACATCCCCTAATGGTAAAGCTGCTCACCCTAGCAGTTTGCCTCACAATAGCTTTCGCCTGACCTCAGCAGTTGTATTCTCCCAATTTCTGCATGTGTTCCCCTTGCTGAGCCTGCTCTGGGAAGCTCTTCCTAGACCTGAGGCAAAAACATCTCTCTCTTTCTTCCTTTTAACCCATTCTTTTTCAAAGATTTTGAATGGAGGCCTTGTCTCAAACGCTTTGACCACAGTGTTTGTGTAACCTTTGCCTTGTACCCAGGAAAGACAGCAGAGAGTTTTCAATAGGACCTGTAGAATAACCGTTAATTAAGAAATATTATAATAGTGGAACGCCTTGTAAGTGACAAGTTCTAAAGTAATATTGTTTATTGACTACTTCAGTACTTATATTAGTGAGACCTTATTTCATAATGTTTTTGTGATTGTTAAAGCAGCCTTTAAAGAGCGATAAAAGCCTTTTGCTTTAAAGAACTTCTCACTTAAATTGAGTTAGTAAAATATATTGATCAAATTACTCTTTTCTAGATTTTCAAACAAACTGCTGTATATTTTTATTTCAGATAACTCAACAGCTGGAGAGCATATGTTTACAGATCATTGGCCTCGTTTTGCAGAAACACGTTATAGGTATCTTCTAGAACTAATTTTTCAAAAAGTTTTACATATTCTTACATGGAAAATTCTTAAATTAATAATTACGAGCAATACTGCCTTCCTATCCAGAACTTCATCTCTTTTTTGTATGCTGCTACTTTAGAGAAAAAAAAAAAAAGTTAATTTTCAGTTATGATTTGTTTCTCCTGATCTCCTCTTTCATACTAGTCAGGTCAGTTACTAGCGTTGAAGGTCAGACTCCAAAGCAGAAGATGCAACTCTGAATATAGTTTTGGCTAATTATGTTAAAGGACAAAGTCTACAATCAAATTACTACGTTATGTACACAACCTACAATTGAATTATTATTTTATCAGTACCCTATATTAAAGAGCTGCACAGTTTCTGATAAGGCCTTTAAGAAAAAACAAAGGTTGAGATAATAAAAGTATTGTGCAATAAATGGTTTAAAAGAAATGTCTTTGGCTTGGTGGTAATACAGTTTTCCAGTGTGCATTTATAACAAAAAACCAGTGCATATCATTGCAACTATAGTCAACATAAGGCCTCGCTAAAAGAATCTTTTTCAATTTGTATTATTTTTCTACCTATTGATTTAGCTATTAAATGCTGTTTTCTAGTTGCTATACGACCCAGGGCTTGCGTTTGATATTTCATGGTATTTGCAAGCAAAACTTCTCTTTTACAACACCCTGTTTCGAATTGTTTCTTCTCTGCAGAGTTTTATGAAGAAATTCTCTCCTTGGCATACAGCTTGACGTGCCAGATGATTTCACCTCAAATGTGGCAGCTTTTAGGTGTTTTATATGAGGTTTTCCAGCAGGATTGCTTTGAGTACTTTGCAGGTATGACCACTTCTAGTCTGTTGATGTTTCCACCATTTGGGAATTCATCTCCAAATCCCACCTTCTAAGGGTCACTTCCGTTTAATGTCCTGGTTTGAAATGATCATGTACTTGAGTCATGCCCTGACCATCTGTTTAGTGCGGGAGTGTAACAAGAGCGTATTTAGCTGGGAGAAGCTTGTTCAAATCTGTCAGTTCGATCAGTTGTTGTAGGAGGTCTGAACTCGAAGAAAACTGAAATGTACAAAGTCAATGTGAAACTACAAATTCATTAATAAATGTAAGTCTGTTCTATTTATTATTCTGAAAATGCATCCTGCAGAGTGCACCTTACAGAGAATTCTGCTAGCATAGACTCGCACAGTTTGCAGAATTCGCAACCGCCTCCAGGATCTGAGCTACTGAATTACAATATAGGACTAGGGCCTTTTAGGGATTGGTTTATAATTTTTTTTCTCTTTTATTTCTCCCTCTTCCCTAGATATGATGCCTCTCTTGCATAATTATGTGACCATTGACACTGATACTTTACTGTCTAACCCAAAGCATTTAGAAATCATTTACGCGATGTGTAAAAAGGTAAGGCTTCTCGTTCTTACTGTTGTGCGTATTAGTGGCATTTAACAGTCATACAGAATATCAGTGTGACCTGAACATGCCAGCTGGTAGCTGGTCATTTCAGAACAAAATGAAGTTTTGTCTCAGCTGAGTTTCAAATACGCCTAGCACCTTCACACTTAAAAGTGATACACTTTTGTAAGAAAAATGTATGCACAAACCTCTGTGGGAGAAAGTTTCTGTGCTGCTGTTCATGTTGACTCTCTTCTGTGAGCAGCTGTTTCAGTAAGCAGAGGATTCATGAGGCCTGATTACCTTGGGTTTTTTATCTTGTAGTTGGATTCTCTAATTGTCAACTAAGGCATGAACTCATCTGAAGTTCTTCCCACATTTCTTCCCACAAAGCCCTTTCTCAGCTTTTCTCTGATTTGGGGCATTATGCAGTCTTCTGCATCTAGCTACCTGATTATTTTCAAGAAACTTAAAAGGATGTAACGTGTTTGAGAATTCTGCTCCTTTGTCCAGTTTGATTGACACTGGCCATAGGGTTGAAGTGAACTGAGAAGAAACAGTCAGTTTTACGCATATGCACATATGCACGGAGTGATTGCATGCATCTTGTTTTTAATCATAAGTTAGCCTAGAGACAGGACTTCACTTTGCCAGGCTGTTAAATCTACCAGTATCTATCAGAACTGAAGTCACAGAATGAAAACAGAATGTAGAAAACATTAATGATTCTTTTAGGTAACATTTCCTTTAAAAAAGGGAAGCTGATAAGGGCATATAAAGGATACTAACATCCACGGAGAGCTATAGAGACTTTTTCTGAATTTTTGAATTCACCTTTGGCCATCTCTCCGTGTTTGTGTCCTGTAGAGATAATTTCTTATCTTTCTTAATTCATCCCAAAATATTTTGCACATAAACGTGTAGATGCCATGTAGAGGTTTGAGTCTATATGTGTGGAGGTACTGGAGCACTTGTTTTCAAAGCTCATTATAATTAATACTGATAAACTGATTTGTCATTCGGATTGGTAGGTATTAACAGGAGATGCAGGAGAAGATGCGGAGTGCCATGCCGCCAAACTCCTGGAAGTAATTGTTCTTCAATGCAAAGGACGGGGTATTGACCAGGTGATGTATATTAAGCAGGTTTTCTTTTTTACTGGTTTCTAACAATATGATTCCTGAGAAAAGCAGTTGGAATTAGAGAAACTGAGGGAGATATAAAATGTAGGAATAGGGAAGAAATACAGATAAAGATGTGAATGAGCTCAGGAGAGTTTGTGGTTTGTTTTTTGAGCTTAGAGATTAGTGGGCATGGCTGGAATATGAAGGTAAACTGAACAATAAAGGTATAGTGTGATGTGCAGGCTGGTCTTTTCCTGCCTTCTCCTAATAGGATTTTCCTTCTGATGCAAAACAAACGTTGTTAAGACTGCTGTGGTTGAGAAGATAATTGTACACATCACACTACTGAAATTGTTTCTCCAAGCAATATGAACGTGATCGTTTTGAATGTTTTGAATTACCCTTTGCATTTGGAAATGAATGACTTTATATGTAGAGTGGGGCTAGATGGTGATGCGGGGATACCCATAATCACAGTTTTCTGAAGTTGCTTAGAACACACTTTTAAATAGTGTATTTTTTCTACCAAGGGCTAAATATTCTCTAAGGTCTCATATTCCATGTAACACTCCAGCCTAAATTGCTTTAATATATCATGTTTGATGTTGCCACAGTGCAATCCATAGACTTCAAGTGATTAATTTTCAGTTATCTTGACTGAAAGCAAAATAAGTTCACTACTGTAAAACTGAACTAATTGAAAATAAAAATGTTCCCTGAAAGATTTTATTTTTAAAAGAGATCTGGAAGGAATTAAAGCGTATTGCATGCATTTGCATTAAAATAAGCCTGTGGGGAATGCTTAATTGAGGTCCACAACTCTGTGAATTAAAATGGTTTCACATTGAACTGAAACGCGTAAATTCATAAACTCAAACGTTTATAACGCTTTCCAAATTAAAGTATAGCATAAACCTGCACCTTTAAATATAGGTAGGTGCTTATTTTGTTAGGTAGAAATATGTGTGTACTTGCTTTCATCTGAATAAACGTTACTTGTTTCAAACTTTTCTAATAAATTTAGCATCACTTTACATTTATTAGGTAAAACTTTTTTCTTCTTCTTGTAATTTTAGCTCATTTTAGTTTTTAATGCCGGTTAGTCTTAAAATTGCTGAATGTTTTTATTCAAAGATGAGAATGTCTTTGAATTCTTTTCTACAACTTTTTTCAGATTAGAACAAAATCCACCAAATGGCCCCAAATGTTATTCTTTTTAGATGAGAGAGCAGTTGTTCCTGTAAGCATGAAATCAGAGGCTTAAAACGCTTTTATACTGGGAAACGAATAGAATGCATTCCTAGGATATACCTGGACTTCAACTGACTATGGAGATTGATTCTGATAAATGTATTTTAAATTTTTGTATAATCTGGCAGGAGGTATAATGTTTTCTCCCCCCTCCCATCCTTCTCCTTCCTAATTATATACCCAGTGCATTCCACTCTTTGTGGAGGCTGTTCTGGAGCGGTTAACAAGAGGAGTTAAAACAAGTGAGCTTCGTACCATGTGTCTTCAGGTTGCCATAGCTGCACTCTACTACAATCCTGACCTACTTCTACATACCTTAGAGAACATCAGATTTCCACACAATCCTGAGCCCATCACTGCACAGTTCATAAACCAGTGGATGAATGACACAGACTGTTTTCTTGGGCAAGTATTGTGTTTTTATCTTTTCAAAGTCCATGCTTTTGTTTTTTTTGTTCACTTCTCGCTTGTATCCCTGGTTATGCTGATGCAAGAGATTTCATTTCTAGGTTAGTCTAAGTAACAGTAACCCAAACCAGCAAGGTTTGATTGCTATGATGGAGGTAAAGGTGACCTATGTGTATTTATTTTTCCTCGTCTGTTGAGTTATGCGCTGAATTTCCTGTGTTGCGAGGATACGAGAGTGTGATACGTACTGTATGCTAGAATTCTTTAAAGTTTCTTAGTCATGGACTATCTGCTTCTCCAAGAGATGATCCAGCGTGCGCTGAGAGTAATATTCAGAGCTGACCAGCGGGATTTCAGGGAAATGTTTAACTTCTTTTCTCAAATACTATGTATACATATTTTCTAACTGCTTCATTTAATGTTAAAAAAAATTATTGCCTTCAGTGAAAAATGAAACCCACACTCTGATTTTAATTTCTGCCAGTTGTTCATATCAGTTTTTGCATATTTATCCTTATGCCATTGATATATTGACTGTTTAGTACACTCCTGAATATAAACTGCATTCAGACCTCCCTGGAATATGTGTGCACACTAAGCTAGTGTGCACTTAGGCAAGAGCTGAACACTTGTAAAGTAAAAGGAGGAAGTGAACCAAGGCTGTGATGCACTTGATCTTGTTTGGAACTGAAGTCCAGTGCTCAATTGTTACTGCTTGCCTTTCAGCTGAGATGTGATGTCTGGCTATGAGGCTTCAAATCCACTGAAGGGCAAAGCAGACGGTCAGATGTAATTGACAGTTCTCGTCTTCCTGCTATGAGTTACATTTTGTCATTGGAGGCATGACATCTCCCTGCAGATGTATGGACAGACTTAGAACCTCTCTGTGCAGAATATATGCCAACATACTAAGTGAAGTGTCAGTGTGTTAGGAGTCATGCCATGAATCAGCACAGAGCCAAAAGAGGCAGCTCCTGACTCCGAGGATGCATACCTTATCCTTTAGCTTGTCATTCTTTTCCTACCTGTTTTTTACTGGCACAGTCTTGTTTCTCCCAATTCTAAACAAGTTAAACAGGCTCTAGTGGGCTTCTTATAAGATGGTTTCTCCATCCCCCAATCGTCCAGATAGCTTTTCTGTGTACCAGTTCTTATCTGAGTTCATCTTTCTTGAACAGAATTGTACACTGACTTGGTACAGCTGCATCAGTGCCCAAGTGTCCCTTCTGGTTTTACATGGTGTGGTACATGGTAGCATTGCATTACCTTTTTTCATAATTGTAATACATCAGTGACACCCAGTTAATCAGTGACCAACTAGTATACCCGGGTTTTGCTCTCAGCATGTCCTTTGTAATGTTTTTAAAATACATACCAAATGTACTGTGTGAATATGTATTTTCTTCCCTCCCATGTCCTATGTACGTAGTTTAGTGGGGTTAAGATGAAGGGACAGCAGTGTGTAGACTTGCGGCATAGACTACCTTACTAGCAAGAAAACTATTTGGAGATAGAAGAGAAGTTGACTGCTTTGCTGTGTGTAGTCTCTGTAGGCAGATCCCCATTCATGTCTGAATTTGAAGGCATTACCGTAACATTCTCTGTTTGAAGAAAAAAAATCTTAGAAAGTACTGAAATAGTTAAAAAGTGAGAAAAAAATCTTGTCTTTCACTATAACGAAAATGAACAGTTTGTATTATCACAAGCACCCTGACTACTTCTACCTGCTGTGTATAGGGAATGTGTATCCTATATTTTAACATAAATGCACCCATTATCATTTAGAGGGGTTACCTGAGTTGGTCACAAAGTAAGCATAAGGGGCCCAGTGTCTCTCAGTTCTTTTGAAGCATCAGTGGCTGAAAAATGGCACCGTTACTTCTCCCACATGTTGTGGTAATATTACTTTTAATTTTCAAACTATTTTTATATCTACTGGCTTTAGAGAAGGGTAAGACTTTTTAGCATAAGGATTTCTATGTACTGATTTTTTTATGGCTGAAGCAAAGTTCTTGAGATTCAGCTCTTTGTGCTATCATTTTTCTACTGAACGTAAACGCTGAAAGCATACGGAGACAGTATGAAAGCACATATTCCCTATAGGTGGTAAACTTGTCATTCCTTTTTAAAAGAAATTCTGAAAATGAAAGAGATGGAAAGCCTTAAACAGCTCATCCTAGAGCGTTCACTGAGAAGCTAGTCAGATCCAGAGAGGAAAAATGCTGCAGATCTGAATAGGCTACAACCTCACATACTCCTGTGAGCTACAGCTTAACTTTCAGTTCTTTTGTGTTGCTTTTTGAAAAAGCATCACTTTCTGCAACTACTGTTCAACTAAATCCTCCTTCAAAGCTAAGACAAAAGTTGACAAAGCCTATGAAAATGAAACACAGTGATCATCGTGATGGATTTTGCTCAGACTGTGCAGTTGAATGGTAGCCAAAGATTAAACTCTCTCTCTTTGATATGCTGCTACCAGCAGGGAAATAAATGTCGATGATACTGCTTGAATCTAAAAATCACTTTCCATTCAAAGCCATCTCCTCAGTATGCAGTTTTCAGGTGTAGGGCTTTTGCTGTAATACTGCTTATCAGGAACTGTGATGTGATATAACTGACTTGCTCCATTTCCTTCAGAAGGACAGGGCTAGTTCTAGAAGACCTTTTCATTTTAGAGCTGTCACCTGAACAGCAGCCAAACACTGCTAACCAGCAGCCAAACACTGAGGCCTAACTCAACAGGAGGAGACAGAGCTGTAAAAGAAATTTGGCTTTCTTGATCTCCTTCCTTGGGCCCACCTCTGCAGACTTCATATTTGCATCAGTGAAGATACTAGCAGGCACCCTGATTTATACTATCCTTTGTCTCTCCAACCATCATGCATAACTGCTTCCTTTTAGAGTTAGGTTCTTTTCCAGAAAGAAGTGGTTTTAGGCTTAAATTCAGGTCAGCTGATAGAGTTACAGGTCCTAGAGAAATTGGACAGGAGCAAAGTAAATCCACCTTCAACTGTTAAGGACCAGATGAATCTTACTGCAGTTTCTTTGTCAGCCATGCAGACTGTCTGTGACTTACCAGTAACGATAGTTCATTAATATACTTTGTTCATATGAATCTCATGCCCTTTTCTCCTCCTTCTGCTTCTGTAAAGTCCTAGTATCCACAGATCCTGTTCTGGCAGGAGAACTGAGAGGTAGTAGTTGTGTCTGTCTGTATGTATGTTCTCAGGTTGGAGCTAACAGCGCTGTCCAAAAGAGTCCAGTATATCTTTTGTAGGCCTTCCGCACTCATGAAATGGAATCCATGTGAATAATACACACATTGCAGTGAGATAAAAGTCATTGCAGTGAGATAAGTAACCGTTCTTCTATGTTATTCAAAATATGCAAACTCCTTAAAACTATTTAGAAATTTGGAATGTTAGAAATAAACCAGACAAGAACAGATCAGAACTCATCATAAGACTGTGCATAAATCCAGCATGTCGTCATGGATATTACACATCTGTGGGTGTGTCCGTATACCACAGCATACAGTATTTATTTCTAAATATGTTTTCTACTGTTACTTCAAATTGAATAAGGGCAAAGAACTGAAAAGCCATTTGTAAAAAACATTTGTTCCTCACTGCTTTCCACCTTTTCCCTGAGATCTTGAAATGTGGGCAGAACTTGTGTATAACTTATTCTGGGGTGAAAGGAAAACTCCTAACTTGTTTTGAAAAAAAAAGTTTTTTTTTTTTTAAAAGCTGAATAGGAGGATTTATTTGATAGGAGTTCAAATAGTTAGAAATCCTACTTTTCTTGGTGTCATGTATAAAATCCCAAACTTATACAAGAAAGCAAGGCTAATTCTGACTTTGTAACTTGAAGGAAATAGCTAATTATTTGCAGTTTGTCCAGGAAGTGTGCTGATGTGATAGAAAGAAACTTGATCCTCACATAAAAGGAGCACAGAATACCAGTAAAGGAAAGGCTTAGTGATTTCCTTTTGAAATTCTTTCAACTCAGTTTAAAATGCAAAAGATTCTTAGATCTTTTTATCTTACATTGAAACGAGTGTATTAGCTGCAAAAGGTCCTGCAGATTATGAAGACCCCACACAGCTTGTTGAAAATAGACTTGCCTTGTAGTTGTGCATTACACTGCCATGTGTGACTCAGAGTTTGCATGTTTAGCACTCCAGGCTTAATATGCCATTGAGGGATCAAGCAGAATCCATGCCTACTAGGGAGGACTATTCTGTGTTGCTGGGCAAATAAGTAGGGGTCTTGAAGGACAAAGCTCTAAAGAGAATTGTATTGAGGCTCCTTTGCGCAGACAGAAGGGTGCTGAAATGGTGAGCCTTTTGATAGCAAGGGAATGGAAGGTTCCAGAAGCCGTTCTTTGCCTTTACAAAAATACATAAATGACGAAACAAAACTATTTTGCTTGTTGAATCTTTCTGGTACTTGATACAGCTGTGGCATGGTAGAATGCTGAACTTCTGCCAAGGTGGATGCTTGTCCTGCTGTTTGTGCTGACAGGTGGAAGAAACAAGTCTCCTTTTGGCTCAGGTTCACTAAAGATGGCTTGATGCCTTGATTTCTGTGGACCTGCTGGGCCTTCTAATGTTATACATATTCCAAAGGCATATGTTCATTCTTACAACTTCTCCATCTATATGCTTGAAAATGGAGCATGACAAATAGGCTGTATTTTTTGGCCATTTGGGCTAATTCCTAATAATGCCTGGCTGGATGGCCGAGCTCAGAGGGTTGTGGTGAATGGCGCAGAGTCAAGTTGGAGGCCTGTGGCTAGTGGTGTTCCCCAGGGGTCGATACTGGGTCCAGTCTTGTTCAATATATTCATCAATGACCTGGAGGAAGGGACAGAGTGCACCCTCAGCAAGTTTGCTGATGATACTAAACTGGGGGGAGAGGCTGACGCACCAGAAGTCTATGCTGCCATTCAGAGGGACCTGGACAGGCTGGAGAGTTGAATGGAGAGGAACCTCCTGAAGTTCAACAAAGGCAAGGGCAGGGTTCTGCACCTGGGGAGGAATAATCCCATGCACCAGGACAGGCTGGGGGCTGACCTGCTGGAAAGCAGCTCTGCAGAGAAGGACCTGGGAGTCCTGGTGGATAACAAATTGACCATGAGCCGGCAATGCGCCCTTGAGGCCAGGAAGGCCAATGGCATCCTAGGGTGCATTAGGCAGAGTGTTGCCAGCAGGTGGAGCGAGGGGATCCTTCCCCTCTACTCAGCCTCAGATGAGGCCTCCCCTGGAGTACTGTGTCCAGTTCCAGGCTCCCCAGTACAAGAGAGACATGGCGCTACTGGAGAGAGTCCAGCAAAGGGCTACAAAGATGATGAGGGGACTGGAGCATCTCTCCTCTGAAGAAAGGCTGAGAGAGCTGAGGTGCTTCAGCCTGGAAAAGAGAAGACTGAGGGGGGATCTCATCAATGTGTACAACTGTCTGAAGGGAGGATGTTAAGAGGATGGGGCCATCCTCTTACTCTGTGGTGCCCAGTGATAGGAGGAAAGGCAACGGGCACAAACTGAACCACAGGCAGTTCCATCTGAACATGAGGAAAAACTTCTTTCCTGTGAGGGTGACTGAACACAGAAGCAGGTTGCCCAGAGAGGTTGTGGAGTCTCCTTCCCTGGAGATGTTCAAAAGCTGTCTGAATGCAGTTCTGGGCAACCTGTTCTAGGTGACCCTGCTTGAGCACGGGGGTTGGACTAGATGGTCCCTTCCACCCTCAACCGTTCTGTGATTCTGTGACCTTTTAAACAGCAGTGCTTGAGTCTTCTACTTTCATTTGCTGTCCAGAAGAGGTAATTTAATATGAAGCTAACCACTAATTGCTACAATTTCTTGACTTTTTACTGTGTTGCATTTTGGAATTGGGATTATATGACTATAGGTTATTCAAATGCCTTATAAAAGGTAGTGCCAAGTGACGTTAACTACTCTCATGCATGCACACTGAAACTGCTTCATTATGCATCTGAGGCTTGAAGAAATGTCATGACTTCCCAGTGTGAAATGCAGGATAGAAATCTTATGCATGGATTACAGAGCTTTGGTAAGACTTGCATAAAGGTGCTAGCAGACAGGAGGTGGAGCAAGTTCTTTCCTTTTGTTCCTATAAGATCCACTGTTCCAAAAAAGTTATGCTTTCTTCATAGGTAGCATCTTTAGGTAGATTAATCTTCACAACGTTGGTATGTGAGCAAGTGGTCGTGAGTTTGTTTTCAGGTAAACTGTAGTGACTAAGGGCTTTAATTTCTTTGACTTAATTTCTTTTAATTAAATTTCTTTTCACCATGTAATAAAGATGAAAGCAGATCCTATTCCCCTGATTCAGTTTCCTTCATTTGTATGCCCTCTTTCTTTTGCCACTTTCCTTTTGAGAAAAAGTGTTTGAGTATTGCAGTTAGCAATGATGGAAGAACACTCTTCACCTGCTTGCAGTTTGGTGCATTTTTCAGCATATTTGATGGAGGGAAGCAGCCAAACCCAACATGACAAAGCATGTCTTTTAATGCATGTGACATTATTTTTCTTGGAAGGACTTCTGTGGTCATAATGCTATGCCTGATCTTATATAATTTATTGTTACTATCAACTACTCTGAGAGTGGAAACCTTTCACTAAGCCCTAGCAGGACTAACAAAGTAGGTGATATGAAACTCATCCAGATCCCCAGCCTTTTTTAAGCACATGTGATGTTTAGAAAACTGTAACACATGATCACTTGAATATTACAGTTTAGTAGCATGTCATATGAGAGCTTTGGTGATGAAATTGTAAGCATTTTTAAAGTTGCGTTTCTGTATTAATTTTTGAAACAATGGATTAAGCTATCTGTTCCCCTGTAAGTTTTCTTGCTGTTCCTGTTATAACAGTATGGGCTGTCATGCTCCTCTCCCTCAACTTTTACCTTCTTCATTCCAAAGTGAACCATACTCTACCAAGAGTCTGGAGGATGGCCATTTTCTACCAGTTGGAAGCATTTAAAAAGCATTTAAAATAAGGGCTCCCCTACTCCCCTGCTTTTCTCCCCGTATCCTGTTGCAGCTGTATTAACAGTGCCATGCTAGCGCGTAAACAGAAGACTTCGTGAGACCAACTGATGTGTGGATGCAGGAGGAGAGGAACTTACATAGCAGCCAGCTCTGGAGGTTTGCTTTTTTTCTGCAGGACCGTTTTTGCTGGAGCTCCTTGTCCTGCAGAAGACTTGCACTTGCACAGAAGCTGTTGGTGTCAAATGGAATAGTTCAAACAAAACAACCTCTCTCAAACCCTTAATAATAAAATACCACAGTATTAGAGAAGTGTTGAATACTGGTGTTTCCAGTATTCTAAAGTAGAACTAAAGGCTATCTGTAGAGGCGGTTAGATAATTTTTCCATGCCTTGTTTGCAAATGACTTCTGTTTGTAGAACTCAAAATAAATCATTATTTTTAAGAGCATAGGTTCTTATCTAGTTTCCTGGCTACGGCCACATAGAAATCTTTCTACTGCTTATTTCATGCATTTATCTCCCTTCGATTACTTACTGTTTGTTTGCTTGTTTTCCTGGGATCTACTCATTTGCAAGTTCCCCATCTGAATGTACTTACTACCTGTTTTTCTTGCGGCTGTGGAGTTATTTCTCTGCTCTCCCTGGAGTTAGCAGTATATCTCAAGTTAATATGTCAGAAATTAAATGCGTAATACAGCCATTCTGATGGACTGTTCATAAACATGTTTAAATACAGCAAGCTGTGTGGCATTCCATAACAGCACCCTACAATTCAGTGCGTTACTGCTTCTTGTTGCTCTTTATTGATAGTCTTTTTGCTAATTTCAGTGCCTGCAACAGCACTCCTATCTGAGCCAATGCAAATTCATTTCCCATCCTATTGAATGATGATAATCTATATCAAATATTTTACTAAAGACAAGGTACTTTACACAATCATTGCACACTGTTTATTTAGCATTACAAACTTTGCATTTGGGTATCAGAAACAATTGTCCCAAGAATTTGGCCACTGCTTTAAAGGTATGTAATTGTTTTCGAATACAGTATCTTCCAGTGGGGAACTTGCATTCAGAACAAAAAAAAAAAGTATTTAGGAGATTAGAATATGGACGTAGAACAGGTGGTCTCTGTGACATTGGCTCTGTCTTCTGTGCAGCAAGTGCCAAGATTTTTAGCTGAAGTAGTACTTAGGAGTGGAGCAACAGTACTTTTTTTCTGTGCATATTTATGCAGTGGAAATCTGTTTTTTGTCTAACAAGTGTATGTTGTTTTAGACTCCATGACAGAAAGATGTGTATAATAGGACTGAGCATCCTAATGGAATTGCAGAACCGACCACCTGCAGTGGATGCTGTGGCTGCACAGATTGTCCCTTCAATCCTCCTCCTCTTCCTGGGCTTAAAACAAGTTTGCGCCTCACGAGAACTCACAGAACATGAGGATCATGCTAAAGATGAAAAACACGTTGCAGAAGATAATGGTAAAATCTCCCCTTTTCACATTGTGGATTTTGTCTGGATTTAATTTAAAGGGGGTAAGAAATTGCAGTTCATTTCTAAGACTCATTAGTCTACCGAAAATAGCTAGGCTTCCTGGGTGCTTGAGAGATCACCCTAGGAATTGATTTTTCCTCCCAAAATGTAATCGAAGGCCCTGATTCAATGTATAATAGCTAACCCTTTGTGAAAGGGTAGTTTTGGTTTAGAAGTAACAATAAAACTTGCGAGTCCACAGTGCTATTTTATGAATGTGCTCCATCCTTAAACACCCAGGGCTTTCTCACATAGGCAGCAGGAGTTTGCCAGGACTGTACTGACCATATTCTTGATTGCTGGAAAGAAACTGTTCCTGGTAGCCAACTATTTTAAAGACCTGTTTTAGTGAACTTTGAAATAAATCCTGTCAAGTCTTCTTTGTCCAGATGGAAGGTGACACGCAGTGATTTGAGAAGTGGGGTTTCAGACAACTGAAGGTTCCTGGAGTAGACAGACCTCTTATTGCTGTGGCTGGCAGAAGGAAAAACTATCCAAAGAATAGACAGGAGAAGGAGTTGTGGGGAGTAAATTTTGCATGCTTTGCAGGCAGATACCTGTGAATCTATTTGACTTGCAGCAGGAAATAGATGGTTTGAGTTCCGAAAATTAGATTGAGTTTAAGCAGATTATATAATCCATTAAAATTTCACACATGATTGTTCTGTAATGGAGTTACAGCATTCTTCTCAGTGCTTAGGAATACACTTTGGAAACTGCATAGTAATTTTCAAATCTGTGTGCTGTGGTTCAGTCCCTCTGCTTGTTGCAGATATGGTCATCTTTATTCTCTCTGTCACGTTAATATTGGAAGAACTGAAGGTTTGGAGTTGGAGGGGAGAATTTTTTTTTATGTTGTTTATATCTCAGAAATCTTTTTCCTTAAGTGAGAAATAACAATTTTTATAATTGCATGTTGGAGTTGCTTTTAATTCAGGGCATAACAGTAGTTTCATAAATAGGATGGAAAGTAAAGCTAATAAGGGAGCACTCTGAAAAGCAGCAGGCAGGACATTTGGTGTACATCTAGTTTTCTCTTTACTTTGTGTCAGTTTGTAAAGTATATGCAAGTCTATTTGTTCGTCATTTAAAGAGCACAGCAATGGGACACTTTATCATAGACGAATTAGCTAAAAATTTCAGGATTCTATGATAGCACAATGACTGCACACATGAAAAAAGAAAAAAGAGGTCAGTTTCACATTCCCCAGTTCTTGCTAGAAACAGAAGTGTAACTGATCTTGAACGTAGGAAACATTTTAGCAGCATTCTAAGACTTTGGAGAAAGGGTGTTAACAGAGGGTCCTCTTTCAATCAGAAAATTAGATTCATTCATTGTTCTTTATTCATCAGTCATAGTTTCTTAATAATTTTTAAACCTTATTTTACAAAGCAAGTCAATACTTTTTGCAGAAGAAATACCAAGTGATGAGGAGGAGACAAATGAAGTGAGCCAGGCGATGCAAGAGAACCATGGTGGAGGTGGCAGTGGTGGTGACGGCAGTGGAGAGGAAGAGGACGATGATGATGATGATGATGACTGGGATGAAGATGCTTTGGAAGAGACTGCTCTTGAAGGGTTCAGCACACCTCTTGACCTTGAAAATGGTGTTGATGAATACCAGTTTTTTGCACAAGCACTTTTAGGTAGGTGTATGCTAGTTGGCAGAATGCTATAACATGATGAAATAGTTTGGAGATGTTTATGGTCATCATTGGTGAAAACCCTGTTTTGAGTATGTGTTATGAGTAATGGTTTAGATTATTGAAACTGAAAAATGTAATTTTATGTTCTAATGCTAGTCTTAAAATTGTTTTGCTAACAAGTACCACAAAAAGCAGATGGCACCAAATACAGCCTGAGACTAATCCTCTTCATGTTCTCTTTCAGAACATTTCAGCCACAGCCTAAATAAGTGGGTTTCAGTCACTAGAGAGAATCCTATGTATAGAAATATTTGTCACTGTCTAAATGTTAAAATCATAATGGAAAAGTTATTTTCTCCTTCTCCAGAGTGTTTGACAAACCCTGTTGCTTTTAGTTTTGATATGAGTCTTAAATTAAAAGATTAACTCCATCATTTTCCATGAATAACGGCCACATTGTTAATTCCCTGTTTCAGAAAGCAGAGCATGTAATTAAGTTCCCCAAAATGGATTGCTTCTATTACAGAGGGATTCTGTTCTAACAAACTGATGGGAATTCTAGATCTGTTTTGCAGTGCACATCCTGTGTTCTTCATTTTGTTTTGAAATGAACTTGCCATGTAAGCTGATGATCACTTTTCATCCATTCCTGTTCTGACAGCGGTGCAGAGCCGAGATGCAGGCTGGTACCATTCGCTGACAGCACCGTTGAGTGAGGATCAGAAGAAACAGCTGCAGGAAATTTATACATTAGCAGAACACCGGAGAAGTGCTGCAGGTGAGTCACTTCTCTGGGGCCATTTTATGTGTTACAGGGATGTTGGAACTGCTTATGATCTGTAACATCAGAGAGAATGAGTCTTTGTGCTAATTAACATGAGTCATACAGGAGGCCTGAGAAGTGTAAGTAGGAAGTTGTGCCCATATTATCCCTTGCCTGGAAGTATTATCCCTTGCCTGGAAGTGTGTGTTACTCAGAGTTTACTGTTGCCTCTAATTAAGTGCCTCCTCATTGACATACAGTGCTGTTTGACCAGGGTCTGAACTAGTTTTGCGCAATCTGACATTTGAAATTAAGAGCAAATGAATACCTAACTGTCAACCAGTCATTTAATGAAGATTACTGTAGATCATTGTGCGTTTAACAGCTTTGTATCTTTTTAACCGCTAACATTGCCTTCACGGTCAGTGTAAGGTTTTAGAAGTTTAAAAAGCTTGCATCATTGAAGATAACTTCTAATTTAATCAAGAAGCCTGCAGAATAGTGTCACATATAGTATTTTGTAACAGATTAATTTATCGGTTCTGCTCTAGAGATGCATGTGTTTAAAGAAAATCTGAGTGTAATTTATTGCTATCACTGCATTTAGAGAATGAAATTTTGACTCAACAGTTTGTTCTACAACTTTCCATTCTTAGCTGAACTGTATTATCTCTGACAAAAGTGTTCACGGTATAGACCGTTTTTCATATCCTTTCCCCTCTTTGAATTCTAGAGACTAAGACAATAGAACAACAAAGTGGCTACACATTTGACAACAAAGGACTGATCACAGCATTTAACTTTGCTGGAAATAATCCTGGTGGCAACTGAAGGAGAAACTGCAAAGGTCAATGGGAAGGGTTTCATCGTTACGTTTTATTAAAATCATCGTGACTTCTGAGTGATGGGGAGGGTAATTTAATGCTGCTGGAGGTTTCTTGGAATGTAGCAGTGTGCTTTCCCCACCAGAATGGTCTTTCTAACCAGCTACTGTAATGTACAAATTCTTGTGGTGTTTTTATAATTTGATGGACTGAAAAGGAAACGTTTGTCCTCAAGGAACCTGAATGACTGGGAGGGGCCAGGTTGCATCTAATTGAGTTGCACTTCTCAGGTTTTTGCTGTGCGGAATTGATAGATTCATATGGATAACAGTGCCTTCTGTTGTACGTGGATTGCCTGAACAAATGAATTTTGGAGTGCATTATAATTTTTTAAGTGTAAGGACATTTCTAGATACACTGTAAGCCTTGGGTCCATGTTTTCCTGTTATCTGCCTTTTACTACATGATTTCATTGTTCGTTGGTTGCATACACATTGCTGGATTCAGAATGTTATCTCATCTTCCCTATTTGGTGCAGACCAAAAGCGTATAGGGAGGCGTCTGTTGTAGTAGTAAAGCATACACTGGCGATGTGAAAGTGTCTTAACAAAATGCAGATTTTCCCTTGATACAGTGGTTTTAATTTATTTCCCCTAGCCCTGAAATCAACTCACTTGAGTTATAATGGCACACGTGGCTGGGCAGGTTTATATCCTAAGTCTACATTGATATTACCGCCTGCCTGCACAAGTGGTGTGGCCCTTGCATGTAGATGTTCTTTCTACATGGTAACTTTTAATCTCCACTATTTTCACTGAATGTTGAATTTTATTTGGGCTCCTGTGAACTGCTGTTCTGTTTTTATTCATTCATTACCATTCCAGTGGTAGTACTGAATAATATAGTACAAAATATTTACATTATTTTATTTATCTCAGTAGAAAGGAAAACAGCTCCAGAACTTTTTTCTTCTTACTCTTATGCTTCTGTGATTGAATTTCTGCTCTGCATTCCATTTAGTGGTTCTTGTCTCATGCTGAAATTTAATTATCTGCCAGATTGTTTCTTAAATCTCAAAGATTGATTTCTCATAAATTCAAATACATGTTATTGGATCTTTGTGAATATGTTCACGTAGGGAGAGACTTAACATATGAGAAATCTAATTTGGATAGGTGCTCCTTCTCTAGATCTGTTGGGATCACAGTGGTATAGACTGTGTAAATAAGGATGCTTCAGAAAGTGTAAGTACCTTGAAGCTTGGACTGGAGACTTTTTAATCTAGATTTTGTCTCTGTATGTTAAGTCTCTGTGACTTAAAAACATTTACCAAGCAATGTTAACCACATATGGATAAGTATTTCTTTGGAGCAGTGCCCCAACTGAAAATCACAGAATCACAGAATCGTTTAGGTTGGAAGGGACCTCTGGAGATCATCTAGTCCAACCTCCCTGCTCAAGCAGGGTCCCCTAGAGCATATTGCCCAGGATCACGTCCAGACGGGTTTTGAATATCTCCAGGGAAGGAGACTCCACCACCTCTCTGGGCAACCTGTTCCAATGCTCTGTCACCCTCACAGTGAAGAAGTTTTTCCTCAGGTTCAGATGGAACTTCCTGTGGTTCAGTTTGTGCCCGTTGCCTCTTGTCCTGTTGCTGGGCACCACGGAGAAGAGACTGGCCTCATCCTCTTGACACTCCCCCTTCAGATACTTGTACACATTGATGAGATCGCCTCTCAATCTTCTCTTCTCCAGGCTGAACAGGCCCAGCTCTCTCAGCCTTTCTTCATAGGAGAGGTACTCCAGCCCTCTAATCATCTTGGTAGCCCTCCACTGGACTCTCTCCAGTAGCGCCATGTCTCTCTTGTAGTGGGGAGCCCGGAACTGGACACAGTACTCCAGGGGAGGCCTCACCAGGGCTGAATAGAGGGGCAGGATCACCTCCCTCGTCCTGCTGGCAACACTCTGCCTAATGCACCCCAGGAGACCATTGGCCTTCTTGGCCACAAGGGCACACTGCTGCCTCATGCTTAACTTGTTGTCCACCAGCACTCCCAGGTCCTTCTCGGCAGAGCTACTTTCCAACAGGTCAGTCCCCAGCCTGTACTGGTGCATGGGATTATTCCTGCCTAGGTGCAGGACCTTGCACTTGCCTTCGTTGAACTTCATGAGGTTCCTCTCCGCCCAGCTCTCCAGCCTGTCCAGGTCCCTCTGAAGGGCAGCACAGTCTTCTGGTGTGTCAGCCTCTCCTCCCAGTTTAGTATCAGCAGCAAATTGCTGAGGGTGCACTCTGTCCCTTCCTCCAGGTCATTGATGAATATATTGAACAAGACTGGGCCCAGGACTGACCCCTGGGGGACACCACTAGCCACAGGCCTCCAACTTGACTCTGCGCCATTC